TAAAAAATAATATTAATAATATTAATCTGATATTGTCTATTGCACATATGACACTATAATATAATGTCTCTAGATGCTTCTTAAGGACTTTGCAAATTATTATCTTTGCTGAAGCTATGACAGTGCTCAGTCCATTCAAGGAATAAGTTCTACCAGGCACCAACTGCATACACCTGGGTCAAGTGTGGCAAATAGAGATTGATGTCTTGCCAAAGGAGCTGGAAGGGATTTGAACCCTGTACCTTGTGGTTTACAGTCCAGAGACTCATTCTCCAATCCTAGAGCGCGTTTATCTAGGCTTGCCACTAGATATGTACATATCGTACCCCACAATCGAACCCCACTATCGTACCCCACTATACGATCGTGATTTGCGGGATGTCGCGTTTATCGACCCTTCACGATTCAAAATAAAGGCCTTGTGTCTGCCCAGCTGTTTTGACCCGGGAAGCAGACAGTTTCTCGGAGGTCAACTTCACACGTATGCTTGTACACAACACCTGGGTGGTCATATTTGTATGTGAGGTTCAAAACAGCTTTGCGTTTATCGATCTCTCAGAAACGTGATTCTGGCTGTATGTCACATTCAAAACGCACCTTTTTGCGTCTTTAGATATGCCCATATCTAAAGACGTTTGAAAAAGGCTTTGCGTTTATCTACTTCTAAATTTGCCTGAAAGACGTTTGAGAAACCTGATTCTAGCCAAAAATTTGCTAGATAAACGCAACCCTAGACTACAACACCTCTAGAACGTAGATGCACTATGAAAGATGAAAACACTTTGTCCTTTAATAAACCTCATCAAAATATTGTTTCAAAAACTGTTTTGATGATGTTGGACCCTTTATCCTCTGGCCCATGTTTCACTAAAACTTGTTATCAATAAAAAATGCAAAATTTATATGACAAATTTGCTCTCAGCCAATCGAACGCCACCATTTCAGTAGCTCATAACAGTTATTGTAACTTATTATTGTAACTTGTTATTGATAACAACTTAACAAGTTTTATGACACAGGGCCCTGATGTATTCCAATGACACAGTTCTGTTTGGAATAAATAAATGATATTTACACTTTTACAGCATACAAAAATGAATGAGAATTTGAGATGAAATTAAAAAAAGAACTAAAAACAGTATTGTACACATAACCATAATAACTCTCTCTGGACAGGACTAATGCATCAATTAGGGGTAACTACACTCCAATTATTTTAGAAAAGACAATTTATCCTATTTTAAAGATGGAATATTCAATTGCAATTAACGCATTTGCTCCTTCTTTAAAAAACATTTCCATACTCTTGTTTATCATGGCCATCTTGATAGTTATGTTTTAGTTGTTTTAAAATCAATTCAATGGGTAACTTTTGAAGTATTTTACCCAACAAACAAGACCTACATGTACCTAGCTCTTTATTATATAATAGATTGTTTCAATGTTCATATGGGACAGCACTGAATATACGCATTTTAATTCAAGTTGCCATTAATCTCGTTGACATTACCACTCAATACAAACTAATTCAGCGGGGCATACAGATACACAGAAGAAGCATGGCTTAATCATTAATAGGCATAAGTATCTCCACTTTTACCACACTTAGCTCCACAGCTCAAAATGGCCCAAGATCAATGGAAAGTTTCGAATAAGAAAGAAAAAAAAACGTCAGCTCAGAGGAGTTTAAAAAATATATTTTGTCTTTTGATGCTCTCCTCCAAGAGTCTCAGCGGAACATATCCCTGGTCTAGTTTCAAATTTGCCCAGCTTGAATAGGACCAGGCCTGACCCATACTAAATGTTCACTATTAGGCCATTAAAAAAATATACATGTTTAGTGTCCCCGCCCGCTTCCTTTTTTTTTTAATAATTTTTTTTTTTTTTTTAAAGAAAAAAAACATGAAAAACACTGCTAAAATGGATCTATTTCTGATTTTAAAAAAATTTAAAAAAAATAAAATGTTGGCGGCCATCTTGCAAAATAGCCCGACAGTCAGGGAAAATGTACCGAGCGGCCATTTTGAAAGAAAAAAAAAAAGCGCCTCCTCCTTCCTATTTTTTTGAAAAAACAGGACGCTAAACACGTTTTTTAATTATTTGGTCTTATACTCTGCCAATAGCCATTCCATTAGAACTCCATACTGGCCAACCTTCCAGAGCAAAAAATCAGAAATCTCCAAAAGCAAAATATGAATAGATTGTATTTTGGATGCCTTTACACAGAAGTTTTAAGAGAAAGAGATGAATCTATGATTCATAACACTACTTTGAAGGAGAGGACAAAAATAGGGAGGATTCCTCCTTCATAGGAATGATTGGTAGCTATGCTGAATACTCTAGCAACAGAAGATGTAATAATGCACCCATAGGGGGCGCTATTCAGGTTCTTCATCTGCATGGTGAAGAGTGGGAAGAGAGGGAAATGAAAGAAGAATTATTCCAGAAAAAAATGCACAGGAAGAGAGATAAAATGGTTTGAAACCATGACAGCCATACTTTCACTTATCTATCAATGTTGTTTACAGCATACATGTACTCATATTAAAGCCTGTCTGTACTAGTTTGGCCAGGGGGATTAGACCTCCCTCCAAGGTCACTGACAGGTGGTTATCTCATCAAATCAGCTCTCAATTAACATAAGAAAAAGAGAATCATGGGGGACCAACAGGCACCGATTAGACATTGTTTGCTATAGAGGGCGCAAGTAGCTATAAGTAGTGCAGTGGGGCTTTAGGTGTTTAAACCCATTCATTACATAACTATTTCTTTATGTCTCTTTTGGTCACTGTAATGTTGGTTTCAGGATTCTAAAAAAGGGGGAGGTGCAACATTTTGGAAAAATATATAATTGAGCAACAAAAGTTTTGTTTGTGAACTAGAATGGTAGACTGGGCATACAAGGGGGACTTGCTGGTTGTGCCCTCCCCCCCCCCCCCCATCCTAATTTAAATCCACCAGTAGGTCTCTGAACCTTTGTAACATAAAATATATTGCCACTGGACTGTTATTATTTACCTACATGTTAATCTTTCCGTTCAAAACTTCATCTTCTAATATGAACTATTGAACACACATTCTGGTTATCATCAATCTGAAAATACATGTAGTGTATAAAATCTTTTTTTCCCTTTTTTTTCTCAGTTTTCCTTCGTTTTTTTTCTTTCATAGTTTTCTTTGTATTCTTCTCTTCTTTGTTAGTTTTCCTTATATTTAATGAACACACATTTGTTAGATTAGATTATCACAGGTGTTTAAAAGCATTTAAGGGCAGACACATTCCACTTTGAAACAAATGTTAATCACAGATTAATCAAACATTGGACTGGGATCATACAGAAGCAACAAAGAGCTAGGGACATCTTAAAAAACAAAAACAATGAAATATGTTTTACCATCTTCCTATAAAAACACTATATCTGATGTTACCCATCAAGATATGCTGCTGGGAAAGAAAACCTAAAACTCTCCTGAAGTATTTACCATTCAAAAATGCATCAATGGTTTTTTAATTGCTTAGTTCAGTCAATTTGTTTGAGTGGGCACAATGGACTTGTCCCCCCCCCCAAAAAAAAAAAAATCTACTTTCCACCAACCGCTCCGTAAGAAAAAGTTCTATTACCCAAAGACTTCTTGGTGAGATTGGAGGGGGGGGGGGGTGGGGGTTGTATTTCTTGGTGGGACATTACAATTGCTGTGTGCGAGACTTGTACACCCGTAATGGTATTTCCACCAATCAAACAGCTTTTCAGGCATACCAGTAGCTCTATGCTATATACATCACAAGGACATGTAGCAGATGGTGTCCATTTCATGCAAGATTTAATTAAACTTGAAGCAATTAGAACAGATGGTACAACTCTTGTGTGCAAACCTCATACTTGTAGGTGTATCCAAAATGTTGAAAATTAATGAAAAGTATTCTCAATCAATACTATGCAATTGCATTACTTTCAAGTGCTTTAATTGTACACAGGTAACACAGCAGTAGCAAATATATTTCTGTGTTTAATTAGTTAAGCTGGGAAGGCAGTGAGAGTCTTCAAACTCCAGACTCAGTTTAAAGCCCATCTGCACTAGTTTGGCCAGGAGGGATTAGACCTCCCTGCATGGTCACTGACAGGTGGTTATATTATCAAATCAGCTCTGTATGAAATGTTAACATAAGAAAAAGGGGAACATGGGGGACCAATGGTCAATGATTAGGAATTGTTTGCTATATAGAGGGCGCATGTGGCTATAAGTAGTGCAGTGGGACTTTAAATTAATTTTGCTTTGGATGACAAAAGAAACAAGTCATCCTGAGAAACAAGCTACGCAGTGATAAATTTATAAAAAACTAACAAAAAGCCAAAAAAATTACAAATAATCAATGACGACACTTGGGGTTAGATATTAAAAGCTGGATAGCAAACGCAAACAAAACTTTTTTAAAAACTCACCTCCAAGTTGAGGATAAAACTTATGTCACTGTCTTCTAGGCATTAAAAAAAGCAGACTTAATCATGAGAATACACATCAAAACTGAAGTCAATTTAAAGGTCATAGTTCATAGTTCAGACATTGGACTGAGCCACCGGACATGAAGGTACCATAATGATAATAGTGATGATATATGAGATTTGTAAGGCACCAAACACTATGAACATGACGGACAAAAAAAGTGGACAAAATATACAGTTCCTCATTCTACCCTCAACAATTGCTGTGGTAGACAAAGGAACATCCCTTCACTGCTATTATGTAAAAATGTGTAGAACAGGTGAATATGCATGTGACAGCTGTTACCACAGATTTGTACATAATAGCAGTGAAGGGATGTTCCTTTGTCTACCATAGCAATTGTTGAGGGTAGAATGAGGAACTGTATATTTTGTCCGCTTTCTTTGTCCGTTATGTTCGTAGTAATTACAAGTAGAAACAAATGCTCAAGGGACACAAGGTGAAAAAGAAACAAAATGGGGCGGCCGATAAAGAACACAAATTCTGACATCTATAAGTTCAAGGACAGCATTCATACACTCTCATCTGTTTATTTTCATGTCTTCTGATCAAAATGACACCAAGATCATCAAAGGCATTTTTGTTTTCTAAGGCTATTTCTGTCAGACAACATCGTTTTCAAAACGTGATACTTTTGCAACCATGGTCATGCTTGATGGAGCAATGTGTTGATACATGAAGTCATGCGTTTGTAAGGTGCACATGTAATGTCATGTGTCTCCGGTATCTAAAATACCAACTTCTACAGTTGTTTAGGGTAGCATGCTTCTGCAATGGCTTTTTTCTTCATTCTGTAAAAATGTCTCTTGTCATTCCATAACCAGAACTCCTGGGCCCCTTTTCACAAAACTTGTCATCAGTGACAAATGACAGTTTTTGTTATAAGCTAGTGAAATCCTTGCTATCGATTGGTTATAGTAGACATAGTAGTGGAGTTTATTCTACCTGACTGCTAAGAAAGTATGAATGCTTGTAAGTAAGCAACCAGAGGACCAACTGCTTTAGGTCCTCTCTGAGGGACCTGGTAATGAGGATTAATGCCTTACCAAAAGGCACTACGCATCGACTTGGTTTCGAACCCGGGTCACCGGATCACGAGACCACTGCTCTACCAACTGAGCTATTGCGCCTCCTCATTTGTCACAGATTTTTGTCATTTGTCATTGAAACAGGCTTTGTGAAACGGGACCTTGGTTAGATTTCAAAACAATACAAACACCAAGAGCTCATATTCAGAAGAAAAGTGGGCAAATTTAAACCCGGTTTAACTTGGTCCACTCACATATGGAGTATGGAGTGTCAAATTCTGTGTTTTATAGAAATTACTGTAAATCTATTCTAATGGGGCACAAAGTGTAAATCTCTTTGCTTTTTTAAATATCATTGGAATTCTATAACAACAAAAAATAGACACTTAATTCAGCCATGAAAAGAAATTGGACATTGATTTCATGATGATATGATATACATTTGTTAATTTAATTACACAGTTTTGGTAATCTTTCCTGCATGAGGAGCTCGAACCTTGGCATTCCATAAGCCAGAGGACTTAATCTACCCAATTATACTAGTAAAGAAATGTAATAGTATGTCTCAATGACACTGATGTAGGGGTCTAAAATATCTTAAATTAACAACTTGACTACACTTAAATGCTAGTCTAGAAGAACAGACTCTGTTTGATATTTCAACATAAATGACACGCATTCAAAAAAAAAGAGTTACTGCATACTAGTAGTCTATATTCTGGAACTTCCAGACCTTGCATTACAATACCACAAGTCTTTTTGATTCTAATTACATGAATGTAAAAGTATAGTTAACTCTGAATATAATATGTACAAAAGGCTTTTGAAGTAGATAAAAATATGTGCAGATCACCCACGAACTGTCAGACAATCCTGAATGTTTGATTGAACGCTTCCACACTTTAACGTTCCAAACATATTTGACATTTACAATATATATATTTGCACAAGGCTGGATTGAACACTTTTAAATAGACTGAAACAGTCATGGTAAAATGATGACAGCTGCACAATGATGTTTCAAAAACGTCTTCCAGCTGGTGATTAGGACTTTTTACTGTTTGATTAAACGTTTTGAAGGAGATGCTCACAACTAAACAACGCTCGATACCGTGGGATCCGTTGTTACCTTGGGGACGTAGCCGTAGAGAAACGTTGCTGAAATGACGAATGCAGCCCCAATGAAAAAATAGCTGAACAAAGAAAGAAACATGAAAAGGGGAATATTAGACAAAAAGCCATAACATAGAACATGGAATCTGGTCAATTCAAAGTCCATTTGGGGAAATGCTAGGTTCAAATCAATTGTAAAAAGGAAAGTGCCATTACAAAGATGGACTGAACAATATGTTCCCTGTTAACAGCGAAACATTGAAGTAAGAAACTTGAGAATTGACTCACTTTAAGATTCTTTTATGGTCAGAACAGCCTCATATATTATTGTATTTAATACATATCTTAGCACATTCAGACGGGACAAAAATAAACTCAGCCTGTAAATGAAAATAATGTTACTAAACTATCTTAAACCTTTTGCAAACAAAAATCATTGGTTTGCATCATTTGTATATTGAAGTAAATTAACAACTGGTCACAGAATTATGGGAAGGATATCATTCTTTTAATAACTACAAGGAAATTTAAATATTACCTACTCTAAAAAAGCCTAATTAATTGGCATTGCTGATAGTAAAATATTTTCTAACATTATTTTTCCATCCGATGACATAAATAATTTCATCAAAACAGATTCTAAACCCCTTTCCTTACCTCGTCGGTGTGAAATCATTCAGCAGATAATAGGAGATTACGGTGGACAAGATGATCGATAATGATGTGGCAAATCCTTTCAGTATATTGTCTGCATACTTGATAACAGCTGCTATGATGAGGCCACCAAGTGCCTGGTATGATAAACATAAGAGAGAGTGATCAATTAAAAAAGTGAGCCAGATGCACAAATGTTAAGGTGTCGTGGTTTAGTGGTTCATTCATTTGGCTTGATGTAATAAGCGCTACATATATCCCAGAATATTATTATCAAACATAACAAGGCAATTGAGAGCATGGCTGCTGTTCCTTATGAAAAGTTCTCACAACTGTAAAGGAAATATTATTGTTTTTGAACCATACAATTTTGCACATTGAATAAAATATGAAGCCTTTTGAGACAGAATGAAATTAAGGCCAAGTGTATCTTGACCCCAGAAAGAAGATTATGTTATCTATTTTCCTGGAACAAAAATCATATCTCTTCCTGTAGCATTACACAATAGATAGAGAGAGGGACAAACACACATACAGACAGACACAACAAACAGACAGACACGCAGACAGATACTAACCTGTCTTTTATAAAACTATACTCCATGTGATCATTGCATAGCTTTGAAAAAGGTCAACCTTTGCAATCTTTCACAATATAATACTCGTACTGAAACATACACACAGTCTTACAGACAGACACACACACACAGACAGACAGTTGAACTATACTGACCTGGATTTAAGAGTACTAAACTTCACATGATTATTGTGTATAATCCATGAAAAATGCCAATTTTGCCACTTTGTAACCTACTTTTCATGTAATACACACACACACACCCTTGCAGACAGATAAACTGACCTGTAAAATGACTACACTCCATGTAATCGTAGAGTAGCCTTGAAGAAAACCGTTCTCTGCGACCTTGGAACCGTCTTTTCCTATAACACCCCCTAGACCGAAGATTACTCCAAAGAATGCTACAGAATATGACAATGGAAGAACAAAGAGAAACAAAATTTACATGAATTACTTTCTCAGTATATTTGACTGGTCTCATGAATTAATCTTTCATTTTTTTTCTTCAATCGTAACTCTTCAAAATATATGATAACAATAGCTGAATTCTTATTACAACCTAGTGAACCTACATATCTTGCAGTTACTAGTGGTGAGCCTGCCAGGACGGCACAATAAAAGTTAGTTTTGATTTGTTTAGCTTTGTTTTTTACGATTTGAAAATATCACTGTTTAATTAATAGCAATTAGCAATTCTGAAAACATACAGATTAAAATGTGTTGGTAGATGTAGCTAAAGAGAGATCAAAGCTTTTGAATACATTTTTCTTGAAATGTAAATCTGTTGTCCATGGATCTATTCCTACCCACATCAAGTGCAACAAATCAATCAATCATCTAGTATTGAGAGTATGCCCTACGTAGAGGTGTCATGGTCACGAAGTGTCCTTTGGCAAGACATTAATCTACATTTGCCACTCTCCACCCAGGTATTAAATGAGCACTGGTAGGAAGAGATTCCTTGAATGCTCGGTGGCCTAGCAGAGCCAGGGTAATATTTGAACGCCTTGAGCACCTTGCTTGGTGGATATGTAAACTATACAAATGAACGTATATCATTATTATTATTATAATTAAATTTTTTTTAAAGACTCTTTCTGAATCAAGAAGAATCAAACAGTTCCCAAACTCATCTTGTGAGGTAGAAATCCTTCACACTGACCTAGTTGTATATTCCTGAGCCATAATGATTGCTTTGTGCCTTTCAGGATCTTCTCAAAGTAGACACCTGCAAACCCACTGGAGAAACACGCACATAGGACCGCTATTAAACCGATCAGCTCAGACGACATAGAGTGCTCTTCTTCTTTTGGTTTGCTTTCTGAGGGCATCTGCGAAATCACAAGATTGAAAAGGACTTTAATACATACTAGATGAATCAGAGGCCATTGTCTTAAAGGCATCGTTTAATAATGTTAAATCTGAGAAGCATGGCCCTACGTGTTAATATCAGTGTCTGTGATATGGTGTAATATTGAAGCTCTAAAAAAATTGCGCTTCAAAATGATCATGAAGTGCCTCAAAAAAGTAAAAATCTTTGAGTGACTGGTTATACCATACTTATTTTCCCCAATAGACTGTAGTGTTATAAAAAACGTTAAAGAATTTGTTACACGTTGGACAGGCAATGTCTAGAGGTTATTCTGCATGGTTCATTATGCTATAAATAAGAAACAATCGTTCCCACAATGTTCCCCAAACATAAAGTGAAACATCTATCATTGTAATAACTTTGTCCTTACAATTTCAAACCGTGATCCATTCTATAAATCATACTTGAGATTGATTACTTACCTGGACCAGGGCTACTCCAGCCATTAATAGGATCAGGGATATCCACTTTGATGCATTCAATTGCTTCCCCAGCATGAACACTGAAAACATGGCCGTTGTAAGGATCTTTAACTGGTAGGTCACCTGTTTGGGGAGATTCACAATTAAGAAAAGATGCAAATTAAGAATAGATTAATTGTAATACACATCAGGATGCAGTAAAGAATCCATGACCACAAATTACGCAATCAAAAATAAATTAATACAAATGGATTACAATTAGGAGATTTGAAACTTATAATTAAACACAAAAAACGAAGTCGGTAAAGAAAGAGATAAAGAAAATGAGAGAGAGAGAGAGATGGAGAGAGAGAGAAAAAAAAATATATATATAGCGAGAGAGAGAGAGAGAGAGAGCGAGAGAGAGAGAGAGAGAGAGAGAGAGATGAGTTCTGCAATACACATTCTGGCCCACAAATAGTTCACCAGCATTTCCATTCCCCTTATGAAAGTATACAAAAAGCGAAAGCTGGATCCCTCCTTCTTTCACCATGCTTTATTTGAATTAAAATAAAAAACAACAATACCCTCATCCACTATGGGGCTAGCTGCCTAGGATGTAAACATACAGTATACCTGCCACATGTACATTAATACTCAGAGTCTCAATCAATGAAAATGATTGATCAATAATAGACAGGGGTGAAAGGTCATGCACCTGTTCCAAGTACAGTAGGCTCCTAATTAAAAAACAACAAACATGGCTTGCATTCATCTGGTCTCTGTAGGTACATATAACACATCCCAAGGGATATAGAGACCATGCTTCCATCCAGTGCTCGTAATGTAGACCATTTTTTTTGTAATGTCCTGGTAGTCAAATATAATGCAATTTTTTTTTTGTTACAAATCATTTCATTCACCTGTTATGAATAATTGTATTCAATAGTCAGAATCCAAAATGCATACATTAGTTGTTGCTAGGAAGAACAAACATTATGCCTTGTCCTACCTAGCAACATGTATTATATGCAGTTCTTATTCTGACTATTGACATACAATTATTTGTAACAGGTGAATGAAATGATTTGTAAAGAGGCACTTGACAAAGATTTATGTATTAGGTTTGATTACATTACATTATTATGGCCCATTCTGGAACTCACTTCCTTCCTCATTTCGTGAGATTGACAGTCTAAAACACTTCAAATCACGCATCAAAACTTACCTTCATGTACAGGGCGCGACAAACCCGCTTGCCCGACGTCCCGGGGCAACCAAATTGAGCCGTCGGGCAAGTAAATCAAATTATCACTTGCCCGATTCGGGCAAGTGATACTTTTACAGTAATTTCCTACATGTAGTGTCCAAGAACTCTACCATTCACCCGTCAACTTCTTACCCGTCGTCAAAATCCAGAAGCAAAAAAGCGATCGTTCCGATTTCGAAAAAACTTCACAGACAGCTAGCCAGCTCAGCTAGCTCAGCGCGCATGCAACAGTGACACTTCAAGCCATGAATGCCGCTCCGCCTCCACGCACGGCCGGCCGTGAGCTAGCTAGAGACAGCTAGCGCGATCGTACCAGCTGCGAGCTTATTCGCGCTCTCTCTCTCTAGCTCTGCAGGCCGCACCGACAGGCCTTTGCTATTCTCTGATTGCCGATTGGTTGAATCACGCCAAATATGACGTCATTATTCTAGGGAAATGAACACGTGCGAATCGGAATGGAATAAACAACAGGGATTTTCTAGTAAGTACAAAAAGTCAAATGTTTGATATTTATTCATAATGACTGTTAATGATTGTGAACATATTATTTAAAACTCGCTGCTCATATAAATCAGATGAATGTTTTTGTCTCGTTTTCAATTTATTACTGCGGTCTCAAGATCCGACCGAGCGAGTCATTTTGATAATAGTATCGAGACCCCCAGAATATAAGCCGTTGTTGTTTTGTTTTCATGGTTTTAGCGACGTTGTTTAGTCTAGTTTTCGCATACTTATCCGAGATTTATCGTAAAATATCTTCAATATTATTATTTAGTAAGAATTTACAAATTTTGGCATGATATTTATAGCAGTGAATGATGAAATAAAAATGTCCGTACTTTATTTAAAATAGTTGATTACCCATTATTTACATGACGTTTCTTGATGGAAGAGTTGACCCAAATTATTAACAGCTGAAAATTAGCCTACGTTTCCAAATGACAGCGGCTTGCACAGACACACACGTGCGTTGATCAGCTGTTTTTTCTCGATTGTGCTAGTAAACATGGAGGCACCGCCAGCCAAGAAAGCGAACTACTTTTTCGCTTTAAAGTTTTGGGCAAGTGGAAATATTGTTTGGGCAAGTAAATTGAAAACCCACTTGCCCGACAGGGCAAGTGGTGAAAAAAATTCTTGTAGCACCCTGATGTATATCAGCAAATGTGAAATACTGATTTCAGTCAATGCTATTGATTCACTGGAGGAGCCTGCGCATTCGAATTACTTCAAACAAAAATAAATACTCTCATAAATGATGTGAATCATTATCATCATACTGATTTTGTAAATTTTGAGTATACATGTGTTTGATTTTGAAGATTTTTGAAGCAATTAGGTGTGATATCATAATAACCTCTTTCTTGTCATATGATGTACAATGGAGATGAATGAATCAATCCCTTGTTAATGGGTGCGCTTATCATCCCTATTTTTGCTAAAAATCAGTGTTTCTAACGTGTTTCAGGCAAATTTGCATGGTGATAAACGCAAACATTTTTAAGAAATGCATATACATATCGGACTTTCCCAGGCTAATTTCCAGTTTGGAGAAATAGCATGACGAATCGTGATGAGTTGATAAAAGTGACATCCCGCAAAACACATTAGTACAGTGGAGTACGATATAGAAACGCTGTTTCTGAGTGGGAAAAGACGATAAACGCACTCTACGACAGATGTGATTCATGTTATGAGTACCTGGTATGTGGCTGCGTCCAGATGGGAGAGCGCAAGGAAGAGCAGATTGTTCTGGAGTGTGTACAGACCGGCTGGGATTGCTAATTTGAGGCAGTCCATAGGGCTGTTGATGATTTCTTCTCTGATCACTTTCGTAAAGCCTTCGATTGTTCTGCCCCCTGCAAAATAAAGTAGAGACGTTTTAATTCCAAATATTGGTTTGTAGTAATACATGAATATGAAGGTCCCTGGTTTTTAAAACCAAAACCAACCAGACACCATTATACTTGTCAGATCTACTGGAGGAGAAGAGATCCTCTGGACTTGGTCTACGTTCAGGAAATGTCCACCAGTTTCAGAAAGCTCGAACAAGGCGGTCTTGGGGCGACAGGTCCTTCTCTGTAGCAGCCCCACGTTTGTGGAATGCACTCCCTTCATACATTAAACAAAGTAAAACAATTGAAACAAATATACATGTAAGTACTATCAAGAAAAAATACCTGCATGAACACTGTACCATCTACTTATCTTATAAAACGACTATATGATCATCATCACTATCACTAACATCTCTACAACCAGCACTATCACCTATACCACTACCATGTGGACTACCACCATCACCTCTACCATTATTACTACCACTACTTCTACCACTACTTCTACCACTATCACTACCACGACCGATACCACAACCACTACTTCTACTACCACAAGCTCTACCAGTACCACTACCACAAATATAAGTACTATCCAGAAGAAACCTGGATGTACCATCTACTTATCTTATAAAACAACTACATGATCACCATCACCATCACTAACATCTCTACAACCACCACCACTGCACTTCCACCTACATGTATACCACTAACATTTAGACTACCACCATCACCTCTACCATTATTACTACCACTACTTCTACTAATATTACTACCACTCCTACCACCACTCCTACCACCACCACCACCACTGCCACTACCATTACTACAACTACTACTTCTACCACTATTACCACCCCTACCACAACTACCACTCAACTCACCCTCTTGGAAGTATACAAGCAATATACAGGCCACTATCTTCATGCACTCGGCCATGACAACGGCCGTGGAGCTGAGGTAGCGTGGTCCCTCCGACTCGACGGTCCTGGAGTACCTCATGGTCAAGACGAGAGTCGTCGTCTGGACGATCAGGATGCCCAGCGACAGGTACTTAAGGTTGTACTTTACAGTGTTCATCTGAAAGAGGGATAGGAATGAATGAAATCAATAAGACTCAATTTGTTAATCTATAGCATGTACTACACATTGAATTAAAGAGAAGGTTGAGTAGTGGGAAGAGGTGAAAAATAATTTGTGAGCGTTATCATTGTATTATGCAAGTGTGGAAGAACATCAGAGAAAAAATGTTCCCTGAAAAGCAAGGCTCTTCAAATGCCTTAATATTCTAAATATGGCATGTAACATGATAAAAATCAGGACAGATTTTATGCCACATGTTCGTGTAGCCCCATATGCATCTTTCTATGTACAGTGCTTGTAACTTTGCCAAGACTGGGCCAAATTTCTTATCATTTTGATGATTCATGATGAACACCATGCTACATGATCAACCTTTTCTGACTGATTCCACAACGTTTCTTTTACAATGCAATCGCATGACCAGAATTAACTCAACTTTATCTTTAACATCTCTATACCAGTATGCTTTCAATATTACCATCCTAGCCTTGATCTAAAGATCTGACATTATAGCTCCTGAGACAAAATGCTCTGGGCTTTATTACCTCAAAAGTATAACAATAAGGTTATAGGTTTTAGGTTTTAGGTTTAAGCATTAAGATTAGGTTTGGTGTTCATTAGGTTTAATGTTAAGAATGAAACAAATGTTCAGCACCAAATAGAAGTCTATACATATTACATACCCTCTACAATTTCTATCATAAAAAGTAACTACAGTCAAACCTGTCTATAGCGACCGCCCAAGGGAAACACTAAAAGTGGCCTTTGTAGACAGGTGGTCTTTGAAGACAGGTTCCTTTAGTACATGATTCAATGAGAAACCATTTTCAAGGGAAACAACAAATGTGGCCTTTGTAGGCAGGTGGTCTTTGTAGACAGGTGGTCACTAAAGCAGGTTTGACTGTACTCTTAAATAATTAATCACATCAAAAGAAACAGTAATTGGAATGATGAATGACATTTGAGCAGATGGGACCGCATACAAATGTGAATGTTTTAGGAATTAAAGATAAACTTGAGTACTGGTAATGCGCTTGCATTGTGAAAGAAAAGGTGTGGAATGGATCAGAAAAGTTGATCATATAGCATGTTAGTAATGGTGTGTAATGCAAGGTTCTAGAGTCATCAAAATCATCATAAATTTGGCAGAGTCTTGGTAAAGTAACAATCACTTACACAGATAGATGTATATGGGACAACACACATGGTGTCGGGGCTTGTACTACCCTGATTTCCTTATCTTTCTATGCTCATTACTCAGCCAGTATACATTTTCTTCCAAAATTGTTTGGCACATGACATTTATTTGTAATCTTGAACATTCAGTGTAAGTTTCGTTAGATTCTGTGAGAATTCATTTTCTTTTTTTACCAGAACTCAAGTTTATCTTTAAACTAGAGCGATAAAACATACAGTTAACACCTGAATTATTCATACCCCTTGTAAATTCTGTGTTTTGGTCCGTGTTTCCTAACTCAATAATAAAAACAGGACCGGTTGAATTAGGGCCTTTGTTGAATATTTTTAGATGTAAGCTTTGATATATACCGGTATTACATTCTCAAGAAACATAAATGGGGAAAACTTGATTTTTCACATACTTACAAATTGACAAAGTTGGTAAGGGTATGAATAATTTATTTGTTAACTGTATATCCATGGTACAATCTCAGAACAGCGTATATAAGGCAAATTCAATTTAAGGTTTAAAAAAATAAAATTATGAAAAATCAAAAATGCAGATTGACAAAGAAAATCATGGAAAAGTAAGACTCAATAATACAAAACTCCAGGTACAGTCTTTCAAATTAGTATTAAATAACCAACAAACTACATGTACAAGCAAAAGTACTAATACACTACCAGTACACTACCTGCATGCTGGTGCACAATTTTGTAATCCTGCAGTTTTACTGACGGGAAATTGCTCGTTTTATTGTCATGAAATAATCTTCAACCAAGAATATAGTCCACTACTTCTATGTTTCATAGATATAGCATCCCTCAATCATTCCATTTGTGACAGGCAGAACTATCAGAGTTTAGATGAAATCTCTTGTGTCTACTTGGCACTTTACCAAAAAGTACATGAGATTGTACTCTAGTAGAATTGACTGTTTGAAAGAAAACAGAAGAGGTAAGGAATATATATAAATACAAATAGACAAACAGTCGAAACAGACACACCCTCCAAAAGTCCCTCTAAAAATCCCAGATCATCCTGAACGGCATTTGCATATCTAAATATTGTGTGAATATATGTTAACAATGAAGCATCGTGCATCATGATACATGTACAGCGGGTACCAATGTTAATATATTTTCAGCCCTAATTTTCATTGTCATTTGCATGATAAGCTTTTTCAAAGAGTCATAGATGAGAACAAGTCAAATCACAGAAAGTGAAGTGGAGGGGGAGAGCAGAGAGGGGAAGGGAAGAGGAGGAGAGAAGAGGGGAGGGGAGGAGAGGGGAGTGGAGGAGGGGAGAGGGGGTGGGGAGGAGGGGAGAGGGGAGGGGAGAGGGGAGGGGAGAGGGGGAGGGGAGAGGGGGGAGAGGGGGAGAGGAGAGGGGGAGGGGGAAGGGAGAGGGGGAAGGGAGGGGGAGAAAGGGGAGGATTAGGATTAGCTCATGCTGGAATTAATATTTTCTTAATGTTAAATTAATTTAAGCGAGGCACATGTAAAAATGAACGCAAAACCCCAGGCCCCCCCCCCCCCCCCCCCCATCCTAGAACCAGACTTGATTACTGTCCGTACTCTATATCTTTGACAAGACAAAGCAGAAGGCAAGCAAATGTTGCCAAAGCATTGTATTGTATTGCAGAGCCCCCCCCCCCCCCCCCCCCCCCAGTGACAAATCTATTTGACAAAGATACTGACCATAACAATCAAGAGTTAAAACTAACCTACATGTAAAAAGTTAAGGGTGCTCTGGTATGAAAAAAATACGGAAAAACTTTGATAAGTAAATTCTGATTCAAAGACAACAATGAAAGGCAAGCATCATTACACAGATTTCAAGCAAACACATGCTAGTTTGAAATGTTTGTCTCCGATGGGGCAATGAGATGTTTCCTTCACCTTCCACCACATAAAGCGATTAGACAGAAACATTTAAAGCCAGTCTGCACTAGTTTGGCCAGGGGAATTAGACCTCCTGCAAGGTACCTGAGTGATGGGTTTCTCATCAAATCAGCTCTCAATCAAAAGAGGATCATGGGGGAACAACAGGCACCGATTAAGCAATTGTTTGCTATATAGATAGATATATAGAGGGCGCAAGTACACTTTCACCAGTCTTCTTCTCTGAATAATCTTTTTTTCTTCTTCATTTTAGATTAGTTTTCCTGTAAGGTTTATAGTCCCTCATGTGAGCCTGATAAGATCCCGAGAAGAAAGCTTAGAAATCCCCAATATGTATTTAAACTCACCTCAGAATCCTTAATCATGATTTTGAAGAACCAAACTTTCCTATCAAACTAATGTTTCCTTTTAACGGTGTCTGCAAACTGTCATCCAGACCAAAGCCAGAAGCCTTTCACACAAGAAGAAAATGTGTATCTGTAATTCGTAAACTCTTGCAAAATTGCAATTCATTTATAGTGAAACTGTGAAAGAGGTAATGGCCTACACAGTAACTCATGCATTTAAATATAGCACAAAAGCAGCTGTGCAACACAAAGTTGATCTAAAATGGTTGTGTGCTCATGATAGTAGACTGAGCCTTGAGTTTCGCAAAAGGTAAACATGACTCAATGTTAGGGTTTAAAGGTACTATGTCCCCTTTGCAGGACAAAAAAATGAAAAAGTTAAATTCCAACTGCATTTGAAAGATAATACTAATTTAGAACTTCCCTAAAAAAGGTGGGGCTTGAAAATGTCTTCAAGTGGGAAAATAACGACTATTAGTTGTCAAATCGACTTTAGGGCTATAGAGCCCAAAAGTAATAGTCTTGATTTTCAGACAATTGCACCGAATGGTCATACGTTTTATGCTGCGCAAAGATTCAATCAGTTTAATCTTGGCCATCACAAGAAGTGGGTTATTGATGTAGACAAATGCTCATGTACCCTTTACAACTCTTTTCATGTATGTTTTTACCAAAGAAGAAAAAAAGCCAGTCAGTCACTCAATAGTGTCTGACAGTGAAGTCTAGCAAGTAAACAGGTTTCCTTGTATAATTTGAATATGAGGACACTGCTAATGTCTAAATTTCACAGATAGGACATACATGACATATTCATAATTCCTGCAAAGTTCTACAGAATTTGAGGTTGGCTGCAAAAGGGACATACGTACCTTTAAAGGTGGTTTAAGAGGAAATGTTATGATATGTAATAAAGTAATACATCAGAGGACAGGAAGGGAGAACCGGTTCGAATCTGTTCAATTAGGATCAAAGTTTGTTATTCGAAGATCAACAAGAATTAGCAGGGTACAGACCTACATGTAGGTGTTTTTGCAGTATGTACTGTAAATTTTGAACGCATACAAAATCAACTTGTTCAAATATTGGTAGGAAAACAGATTTGTGGAACAGATGTGCAAATAGTCCTACACATGTAATGAACACAATCACATGTATACCAGGGTTGGGCGGTAAATACCGGTGGCGGTAATTACCGGCGGTAAATACCGGTAAATACCGTCCGGTAAATATGTAAAAAACGAGAAATATGATTTTAATTCTCTATTTATTAATAATTTTACTTGTTTTTAGCCTCATAACTGAAAATATTGTTCTGAAATACTTAGCAGCACAAAACTCATAGTAGGAACACACAAACAGATTTATAAAATCCTCACTGCATACATGTACACACCCAAACAAATGGCATTTTGTTCATATGCTAATTAATAGGTATTCATGAATATGGTAATTAGTAACTGGGAACCAAAACCTTCATACAAGTTACTTTTATTGTAAAGTTTAAGATATTTGAATAAAATCAGTGAAAATTTGAACAAAATCGGGCAAGGAATAAGGAAGTTAAAG